GTTAGTGGCAGTATCATCAAATGACAGTATCACAAGGGCAAGGCCCTGAAGGCAGAGTTTAAGGACTCTGCCTCCAAAAGAAAAACAGGAGCAAGCCTCCTGAAAGAATAAGGCCCTGGAGGCAGAGTTCAAGGACTCCTGCCTTCCGAAAGAAAATTAGGAGCAAGCCTCCTGGAAGGGTAAGGCCCTGGAGGCAGAGTTCAAGGACTCCTGCCTTCGAAAGAAAAATGGGAGCAAGCCTCCTAAAAGGCAAGTCCATCAAGGCAGTCCGAGGAATACATCCCTGGGGAGGACATTACCACGAGGGGGGTACGGCACAGCAATGATGAAGCTAAACCAATCGGTCGGATTAGCCAGATTGCTCCCCGAGTATTCGAGCCATGGAGATATTACGTTACCACTAGTTATTACAGCATCAGTGTAAAAAAGATAACGAAATATATATGATAAAATGGTTTCAGTAGACAAGACAAGTACTCAGAAAATAAAAAGCAGGCTATTCATTTAAAAAAAAAAGGGGCTTTGTGTCCCCAAGGGCTATAGTACAGTTCGAAAAGAGGAAAATAAGTTTCATCTGACCCTGGGCATCTCTAGCACGTCATTACAAGGAGAATCGGTGCAGAAGTGGTGAACAGCTTCGGGAGCAGGCAGAGCCGGGGCAGAATCAGCAATAGGCAAGGTTTGAGAAATGTTGGAATCGGGGCCAGAAGGGGCTGGCTCTGGAAGGGCCTCATCAGATGGGATGAGAATTACCACCTCAGGTGGGTCTTCCAAAACTTGCATCGGCATTAGGGCCGTACCCTCAGCAGCAACCTCGGCCTTGGCCTGCGCCATCTCCACCGATGGCACGTAGTTGTGCATCTGAAAGAGTGAAGAGTCTGGAAGCACGCCAGCGGCTCGGAGCGCCTTATCCCAGCCCTTTTTTAATAAATCTTTGCTGTTCTCCTCGAGGGCGGGCAATATGTCGTCGGTAAACTCCTCTCGAATTTGCTCTTCAGTCTTCCTATTCTCCGCTTTCGCCCTGATCCTGTCCAGCTCCTGGGTCAGGGTCAGGCAATTCTTCTCTGACCCGATAGCCTTATCCTCGGCCACAGAGAGCCGCTGCGTCTACTGTGTGATCCTACTCTTAGCATCGGCCAAGACAGCACTTAGCTTTTTAGCGCCGACCTTCGCCAATTCGCTGTCCTTGAGGAGTTGCTCAATTTGAGCAGCCTGCCCCGCAAGGGTGGAGTCCCTAGCAGCCACGTCCTCCTTAGCATGGCCAGGGCTCTTTCTGCCTCTTCCTTATGCTTTTGGGTCCGTTGGAGGTCCATCCTGGCTGCATGATATCGCGCAGCGATTGCGAAAATTTGTTGGGTGGCCTGCGAAGGAAAGAACTTGGTCAATTATAGGAGATATGCCAAGAAAAGGCTGAAACAAAGATGAACTTACCACCGGAGAATTTTGAATAATAGAACGGAACAACGTGTTCGTTGTCCGCCCCCTATGAGCCTCCATGTCGGCCTCAAAATGGAGCGTCTCGCTCACTGTGTTGGTGACATGAGGGTCTTGCAGAATGGAATCATCGACCCTGATCACCCGGTTCATATGATCAGTGGCCTGAGGATTCCACTCTGCAGCTTCTACCGTCTGCGGAGGGGGAGGTGAAGTCTGCCTCTACTGCTGCTGCTGTTGCTGTTGTTGCCACTACTGTTGTTGTTGTTGTTGCCTTTGCTGCTGCTGTTGCTATTGGGGTGAAGGGGGTAACCCACGACCTTTCCCACTTGGCTGTTGAGCGAAGGGGACCCTAGATCCCCTGTCTGGGCCGTCGTGCCTTTGCTTAGTCCTCCTCTCCTCCTCGACTTGAGGATCTCGGTTCCGCACTTGACCCCGACCAGCGGCCCTCAGAGGCGGGGGGTTGGCGCTGGTACCTGTTGATGGGGTGCTATTGGTTAACCCCCGTCCTCTTCCGACGGCAAGGGCCTGCCTCTGCCTCAGGAATCCTAGATCTATGCGGGGCGTGCAGGACATGGCTACCTCAAAGGCGTCCTCTGCGTCTAGAGACTGAAGGATGTAGAAGTTAGGCCACGAATCTCTCCCAGAAGTCCCCACCTTGGCATATGAATGAACCAAAGCCCCTCTGGCTCCGGACTCCTCAACTTTAAGAGCACCCTCTACTTCCTCCTTAGTAACCCTGTTGGGGTCTTCCTCCAAGTTCTGCTCGGCCTCTTGTTGCACATTCTGATTGAAGAGTTTAGACCACCGCAAAGGGTTGAAAGGCTAGGGGAGTTGTGAGAACTTTTTGTATCCAGCTGAGTAGTTTAGAAGAATATGAGTAGCCCGGCTGAACCTGTCGTCGCCAACAAATCTCCAAACAGTGACGAGGTCAGCAAAGTTCACCAAGGACCGAGGGGGAGGGGCAACTTCCCGTGCGGAGAAGTCTGCACAAGAAAGAATGTTATTAACACTTCTAAAAAATCCCAAGGACAAAAATAGTAGACTCAGAGAAGCCAACATACTTGTCGTTCTCCATTCAAAAGGGCATATCAAGCCATTGTACTTGGGACCGGTCCCCCGCTGCCAGGATCCACTAAAGATCAGAAGATCATCCTTGTATCCTTTGTCCGAGTTAGGGAGGTGAGTTACAAGGTACATAGAGGGATCCCTGACTTTGAGGTAGAAATTCTGCTGAGGCATAACCCTCAATAAGGAATAACAAAAAAGGATATCGTTGAGTCCAACGTTTACCTTGAGACGGTTAGTTCTAAGACCCCCATTATTATCCTAAATACGTTAAGGCAACACTGTCCTGGGAAGAGTTTGAAATGGGCGAGGAACTGGAGGAGTAGAGGAGGCAGGGGGAACCTAATTCCACCCTCTATGATTGCCTTGGTGAAAAATGACATCTCATTCCCAGCCCTGAGAGTACGGTTATGCAAAACTAGATCGTACTCATCTATACCTACGTTTGGGGGAATACGGTATCGGGCTCTAAACCTATTAATCTGCTCGTCTCCCTTCACTTTGTACTTTCCTGGCCTCGAGGAACTGGCCTGGGGATCCTCGGTGACAGGGCGACGTCGGGGCATCTCCAAAGAAGATAAAAACTAAAGAGGAAAGACAAAGTTTTTCTACGAAGATCCCCTAGGGGTTTCCTAAAGGTTGGTCACAATGACAACTAGAAACACCTCCGGTTACCGGAATAAAAAACAAACTCAGAAAGACGAAAAGAAGGGAGATACAAGGACTCACCAAAACGCGAACGAAGGTTTCTAAAGGGCTCGGAGTGGTTCCTCCCTCCAGAAGGTTTAGAAGCAAGAGGGTGTTTGCTGGACTAAACTCCGGTGACGACTGACTGGTAGACGACGTGACTAAAGGGGGTTTCCAGCTAAATTTTCAGGCGAAAGCTCTCTGAGTTCGAAATAGCAAAAGTGTGAGAAAGAGAGAGAGAACCCGTTTATATAGTACCCATCCCCATCATTAGGCACGAAGTGCAAAGAGGCATATTTAATGCGCACAACCTCCTAAGCAGCGAAAAAACGACTGGAAGTAATGATAGAGTGGTTGGGGCAATTGCAGAACCCTTCGTCACCTTATAACGCGTGTCCTCGGTGTCAAAAGATCGAAGGCTGGGGGGCAGTTGATGGGATATTTTCAGACACTCCTAGAAGATGACACGTATACTCGGCGTCAATGGAAACACCTGCTCTAATACTGACACGTCTTTGTGATTTTTAACCCCCCTGTCCCGAGGATACTATTCACAGGGATCAGGGATCCTTAAACCACCATGAACCGACACGTATTTCTCGACAGTTTTGGTTACATCGGTCCTAAATCATGCTAGTCCCTCGGCACCGAGGGATATCTATCGCGTCGGCGTTTCTACATCTGCAGGGGCTATTGATGGACAAATCACTAGCTTAGGTAAGGCTAGACTAGCCATTATGACCTCGTCTTACTCAAATGATGTCAGGAGGCACAAGAAAGCAGAAGGTTCAACCAAAGGGGAATGGGCACGTGACGTATTATGTCAGATTAGAGGCAAAAAGACCAGAATGTCCTTGCTGACACATGACTTGGGAAAACAAGTATTTAATGCATCTTTCTCTTGATGAGACAACATTTAATGCATAAGGGCTTGAAAGTGAAAGGTAATAAATATCCCAAAGCCTGGGCATTTAATACACCCCCGTCGAGAGAAGATCATTAAACGTTCGGCAGACCGAGGAGAAGACATTCGTTGCTCGGGGCCCCGAACAGTAAAGAATAAGATCATTACTCATGGAAATTGGTGTGCACGCTGCCCACTCCCAATGATTACCTGCTAGTTACGCTGTTAGCAATGATGAGTTTTTAAGGTATAAATAGTCCTCACAAACACAGAAAAGAGGTACACAACTAACCCTCTCTCAACCATCGCACAGTATTTTTTTCTTTCCCTCTCTAAAAGAACTGACTTGACCGTCGGAGGGGATACGCCGGGAAACACTCCGGCGCCCTTTTAACCTGTTTTCCTTTGTTTCAGGAACCTCCTTCAGTTTTCCAAGATCACTCAGGCGACTCGTATCAACGATTGATTATCCACCTTCGACCCTTACAACCTGTTCGACTATCAAGACCAACCACCCAATTTCGGACACGTGTTCACCACGGAAGAGATCTGTTCTACTGTTTATATTGTACAGGATCCTGCAGTTACAATAGGATCTGTTAAGCAATGGGTTATTGGGCCATTCAATACTGTGGAGATACCCAAAAACGAAAATTCAAACGGACCACAACATCCATACTTGGATTGGCTTGACAAACAGCCTCCAAAATCCGTGATATTTGTGTCTTTTGGAACCACCACTTCATTATCTGACGAACAAATCAAAGAGCTCGCGATTGGGTAAGAAAAAAGCGAGCAAAACTTCATCTGGGTGCTGAGAGATGCAGATAAAGGAGACATTTTTGCAGGAGAGGTAAAAAGAGCTGAACTGCCCGAGGGGTATGAAGAGAGAGTGAAAGGAAGAGGAATGGTGCTGACAGATTGGGCACCCCATTTAGATATTTTGGGACATCCTTCCACAGGTGGTGCTTAAAATAAAATACAAGTTCAATTTTCACATTGATTTGGTTTCAATTTTTCTTATATTTGATTTAATAAGGTGGTGGGTCTCAATTGGAAATAGTCTTTGCCAGACTAAAACGGCATACATCTGACCCTCTGTAACTCTACAGTAACAGTAACAGAAGCCCTATGTCATCTTTTCTTTGTAATTGATTTAATAATTCACTTTCAATTGTATTTATATTGCGGAGATTTTGTCATCTTTCTACAGGTGGGTTTTTGAGTCACTGTGGATGGAATTCATGCATGGAGAGCATAAGCATGGGGGTGCCAATGGCGACTTGGCCGATGCATTCAGATCAACCAAGCAACGCTTTGCTGATAACGAAGGTGCTGAAAGTGGGTGTGGTGGTGAAGGATTGGGCTCGGAGACATGAGATTGTGAGCTCATTAATGGTGGAAAATGCTGTTAAAAGTTTGATAGTGTCGGCCGAAGGGGAAGAGATGAGGAAGAGGGCGGCTGAATTGGGTGGTGCTGTTCGGAAGTCGGTGGAGGAGGGCGGCCTTTCTCGCCTGGACATGGATTCTTTCATTGCTCACATCACTAGATAGTGTTGTTAGTCTCAAAACCTGAGTTTTGTATAATAACGTGCAAGCTCAGATAGAGCTCTGCATCTGAAAATCCAAACCATATAATATATGGATTATGCAATTCAACTTTTCAGTTTGTCGAAGGGTTAAGCCTCTCTATCTCTGTGTGTGTGTGCGCGTGAGAGAGACAGAGAAAGAGTCAGTACTGTTCCCTGTGGGTTATGACCTCTGTGAGACAAGCAAACAAAACAACGTGATGGAATCATGCAAAATACGATATGGACATACTATAAATTATAGTTTAGTGACTTTTTTAAAATAAATTTTAGAGATAAAAATAATTTTGTAAAAAAAATAAAAATATGTTCAACTACTAGTTTGAGAGAGAGAGAGTGTGTAAATTTCGACAAGAAAAAACAAACGGTATAAGATGGTACTTAAAAAAGCAAACAAAAATGAGAATTAAATTTCTAAAAAGCCTTAACAAACTCAGCCTAAATAGTATAATATTTTCCTTTCATTTTGTTGTCATTGAATAATCACCCGAGTCAAAAAATCATTAACAATTCGCGTGAAATTAGACTAAACTAAGGTCGGAGAGGCTCTTGGTAAAATAAAAAATAAAAAATAACCACCCCTTGACCGGCCTTCCTTTAAACTAGGTTGTTGTGAACCTAAAATCCGAACCCCAGGCTGGGTGTTGGAAGGTTGGTATTATTTTTCTCAATATTTTTAAAACGTCCAACGCATAATTGGTGAAGAGCAATATTATTGAGACATAATTTATGGACATAATTTGAAAATATAATGAATTGTCATCAATAATACGATAATGAATTCATTTAATACTATAATATGACCCATCATTATATATATTTCACTATCATTTCATTCGTGACAACTCATTATGTTTTCAAATTATGTTCCTCACTTATGTCCCAATAGCATTAGTGATCGGTGAATTCATAGGTTCAATTCTTATTGTATGCACGTCAATAGAACTTTCCAATAAGTCTATTACAATTCATTTAGTGTACGGAGCATTTTGTTATTTTTTTTTCCGGCAAAATAAAGAGAACGTATGTACGTACCTTACTTTTCGATGCAATCTAATTATAATGCAAGAAGGAATTAAAAATTCTAGAATGCATAATTTACTAAAGTGCTTTTATCCCATGCAGCCTGTTTGAAACTCCAGCTGAAACTAACTGCTGGCCTGGGACTACGGAAAAATTCCAGCTGCACAGTAACATGAATGGTGAGCTGGAACTGCTGTGGGAACTTGAGCTGCGAGCTTGTGCTCATAAGCAGGCAACTGATAAGGTCTAGATAAGGCATATGATAAGACCACTGCCTTATTGATAAGCTAGCCAAAAAGCAGGAGAAGAGCCTCTGAATAGCAATGGACATCCAGTGAACGTTTGAGGGTTTCTGAAAGACTAATAATTTCAGAGAGACATCTGAGATATGATGCAGAGAAGTCAGTTTCCCCGTTGCTGAAGATCCATTACCAAGAGGAAGAGTACAGCTAGTGTCAAAGGTTGCAATCAGCCATAGAAGAAGATGAATATCCAGCGTTTGAAGACTGATGAGACTCTTCTGAAAAAGCCTATGATGAAGACACGTGTCCTCGGGGGTTTCTAGAACAATGTTGCTCGGGTTCAAGCACCATCGGCAAAAGCGTCCTCTCCCCCGAGGTACCTCTCATATAGGATCACATATTCGGTACATTATACAATGACATGTGTCCTCGGTCACCATGTACCTCGGGAACACACCACCCCTTGGTCCCCCGAGGTGAGCCTTTCCTCGGCGCCGAGGGTCACTCCATCCTGGACGCTTCCTCTACTCCCGGATAAAGCTACTGACATACTGGACATCAGCCTATGCCAGTATGGATTATTCATCATGACCTCTTCTTACACAAGTAATGTCAGAACGTGCTGGAATACCGACGTAACAGCCAATAAGGGATGGACGCGTGGCAAATAATGTCACATCCGAAGCAGACAAACCGCGTGCCGTTGCTGACACGCGACTTGGGAAAGCAAACAATTAATTGCACCCTTCTGTTGACGAGACCGCATTCAATGCGGTAAGGTTCGGATATGAAAGGCAATAAATGCTCCTATTACAGAGCATTTATTGCATCCTTCCCGACAGGAGCATATTGTACCGTCGGCGTCCCGACAGACTCAGCATTGATTGCTCGGGACCCCGAGCAATCAATTAGAGAAGACATTCCTCATCAAATGATTACACACGCTACCTGTGCCTGATGATTACCTACTGACCACACTGACAGCAATCATGATCTTCTAAGGTATAAATACCCCTCCCAAAAGACAAAGCGGGTATGCAATCACAAACTCTCTACTACGAAATATCCTTCTCAGTGTTTTCTCCTTCCTCTCTCTCATTCAAAGACTGACTAGACCGTCGGAGGGGATACGCCGGAAAACACTCCGGCGCCCTTCTAACTTGTTCTCTTTTGTCCCAGGAAATACCTTTCGCACGTACAGGATCGTTCCTCCTTTCCCAGGATCGTAAGCTGTTTCGAGCAGTGTGTTTGGCCACTCAATCGGCTCACCCAAAGTTCACCAGGGGAGAGATCTGTTCCCAATATTTTATATATATCGTGCAGGATCAAGCCCGCACAATCTGGCGCCGTCTGTGGGAAACGAGTAGTTTTCCTAATCTATTCTCTAAAAAGAACAGTGACCATGGTGAACACCAGACAGAAAGGGAAAGGACCCCACCAACGGAGTCATGAGTTGCAAGCTCCCTGCCATCACGGAGGGAGGGATCGCACCAGTACGATTAAAAGTGCCTCTACTCGGTCAAGGGGGGTAACCCCTCAAACCAGTATGGGTATCAGGTCAGGAGGATCAGCCCCCTTGGCCCGTCAGCTGGCAGAGGTGATTGAAGAGAAATTTGGCGATAGATTACGTCAGCTGGAGAAGGACAATGTAAACGTCCTTAGCCGGCTCGACGAGTTTGCTGCCTCAGGCGGAGGGTCGAGGGATTCATTCCTCTCCCGAGGACTCCCCGTCCATGAGGCGGAGACGAAGGATCTAAGGAACCACCTGGATCACAAAGCAGAAAGCTCCAGGGCCCCGAAGCGACCCAAAGCCGGCGAATGCCATCTTGACAACCATTCCAGGAAAGCAAGGCCATTGGCCCTGGACGACCTCCGGCGAGGTTTATCCAGACGGAGGAAGGGAGATGAATCCGAGGAGGACTCAACCCAATCTACACGACGCCCAGGAAACGAGGGGCTTACCGACGAACCCAGAGACTTCAGGAGGCATCCCGTAAGGGAAGAAGTAGATCTCAGAGCCCGATTAGACTCCAGGAGAAAGGGCAAGACGATCCAGGACGAGGCCGAGGACGAAGTCATGCAAACACCCTTCACGAGGGAAATCAGCGAGATGGACGTCTCAAGAAAGTTCGTCGTGCCACGGTTCAAGACCTATGATGGGCGATCTGATCCCGATGCCCATATCAGACAGTATAAGCAGATGATGTCCCTCTATCATTCGGACCAACGGTTTCTATGCCGGGTATTCCCTATGAGCTTGGGGGACTCCGCGATGAGGTGGTTCGAGGCGCTTCCCCCAAACAGTATTGGGTCCTGGAAAGAATTGACAAGGCAGTTCCTAACCCGATTCATCACGGGGAGTAAGCGCCCAAAGGACATTGGATCACTGCTGACCCTCAGGAGGAGGGAATCCGAGACTCTTCGCCAGTACGCCATCCGATACTGGGAAGAAGTCAATGAGGTCGAGGGATGCTCGGAGGTCATGGCAGCAGCATCATTCCGGCTCGGCTTGGCGAGGGACACGGACCTGTACCGATCCCTGACCAAAAAGACTCCCTCGGATATGGGGGAACTGATGGCCCGAATCAACAAGTACTCAAGGGTCGAGGACGAGATGGGGAGCAACAAAGGCCGAGCCCTCCAACCCAAGAGAAAGGAAAAAGAGCACGAAGATATTCCCCGGAAGGGATTGCTACCCCGTCCAGGGGGTTCGTCCAGAGGAGTTCACACCGTCTTCAAGGAACCCATCTACAGGTTGCTCCATAAAATCAAACATGAACCGTTTTTCAAATGGCCGCCCAGGATGCAAAGCGACCTCTCCACCCGTGATCAAACAGTAAGATGCTCATATCACCGGGATGTCGGGCATCGCACCGAGAGCTGCAGGGTGTTCAAGTCATTCTTGGAGAGCTTAGTCCGAGATGGATATCTGAAAGAATACATAGAGCCCAGGCCAGAAGAGAAACGAGCCCATGCCCCGACCGAGGAACCAAACAACGTCATAGACGTCATCCATGTGTGTCCACTGGAGCGCCCCACGTCCAAAGAGCTCGAATCCGACCTCAAGAGGGTAGCTTTTACCAGAAAGGTAGCCGAAGGAGGTGTGGGCCCATCAAGCAAAAGGGCCAGGATGGGTGAGCTTGGCATTATGTTCTCTGACGCGGATTTGACGGGCGTGGTGATTCCTCATAACGACGCCCTTGTCTTAACCCTAAAGATAGGGAAATTCGATGTCAAGAGAATCTTGATAGATTCAGGGAGTTCCTCGGAGGTGATGTACTTCGAGACTTTGAAGCGGATGGGTTTTGGCCCCAAAGACTTGACCAAAATCAGGACACCCCTCATCGGGTTCAACGGCTCTTTCGCCTTGCCCGTGGGGAAAATTACATTACCGGTCGCCACTGGTCCCTTCGTCATCGACACAGAGTTTGTGGTGATCGACACGGACTCCCCTTACAACGTGATTATGGGTCGAACATGGCTACACGCTTTGGGAGCGGTACACTCCACTCTCCACCAAAAGTTGAAGTTCGCCACGCCAGAGGGCGTCATGGAGATCCGGGGAGATCAAGCGTCTGCAAAGAACTGTTTTTATTCGGCCGTCCGAGCCGGAGCGTCCGGCCAGGAGAAGGGGCGAGCACCGGAAGAGATCATAGAAAAATAGCAATTACAGTCCGGGCGTCCGGGGATGGATGACCCC